ATTATCGGATGATGGGATTGAATTTTTAGGTTAAAACACTAGATAATAAATATTATTAGTGTGCGAAGACACTAGACTAGGTGAAAATACTGAACTGGGTGAAGACACCGAACCGGTCAAAAACACTGAACCGGGCAAAGACACTAAAATGGGTAACGACACTGAAACGGGCGAAGACACTGAACCGGGTGATAAGACTGAACCGGGCGAAGATACTGAAATTTTGGGCAAAGGTACTGGACTTTTTGATAATTGTACTAAACAATTATTGTACAACGGCACTGAACAACCAATATGGTTGGGTGATATTTCTGGATCATCATTATTAGATAAAAATTCTAAAAAAAAAAAATTAAATAAATTTAATTAAACAAAATACTTTATATTATTTTATTAATTTTCTTACCAGCCATATCATCATCTAAGTCAATTTCATCATCTGGGATCTCTACTGTATCTGGAACATCCTCTTCATCAAAGATATTATTGGCATATAATTCGTCAACAAGAGTACAATTACTACGAGGTTTGTCTTCATAAACTAGCTCATAGGGGGTTTTTTTATATGATCTATACCATGAATTATTCATAGCAACTACGACTAATCTCAAACCAAATGACCAGTTACTTCGACCAGTTGTTTCTCTCCATTTTTCCAATTTTTGTTCTAAAATACTATTCGCCTGTTCGACAAGACCTTGTGACTGAGAGTACCTAGGACGCCCATTGATTATCTTTATAGAGGGCCAGAGTCCAACCAACTCTTTGATAACTTGTACAACAAACTCTTTGCCATTGTCTGATTGCAGAATAGTAGGTGATGATCCAATTAGATGGAAAAGGTCAAAGAGGTACGATGCGACCTCAATTGGTCTCTTGGATGTGAGCGCCCTCGCTCATGAGAACCCACTAAAGTAGTCTCTTATATAACACACGTACTTAAACTCACCATCTGAGATGTAGAATAGATCGATTAGATCTATCTACAGAATAAACATCTAATTAGAAAATTTTAAAAATTTTAATTTAATATCAAAAACAAAATAAAACATACCTGCAGTCATGACAAAAAATTCTTAGCAATTATAGGTTTTGCTACCAAAGGGTGAAATGACGATTTCCTCGCAGCACAGGCTATACAATTGTTCATAAACTCTTCCACGATTCCTTGTTTTATGTATCCCCATTTTTCATGGATCGATATTCACGTTTGTTTCTGACCACCATGTTGAGTTACTTCGCCATGAGTATGACAGAAAACCTCATAAAACCTTTCAGTTATAAGCACAGGGTTTTTTGAAGCCTTTATGATTACTCTGTAATCTCCAGGCATAATTTCCTCTAACTCAAACTTTTTTTTAGCCCAACCGCGTAGATTTTTATCATACAATGAGGTGTCTTTAGGATTTAATAAAATTGTTTTAATTTTATTTAAAAGTTCATTATTAATTAAGGCCTTTGCTTGTTTCGCTCTTGGAAGATTGGTTATATACTCTTCCACGATTCGATCAAGGGTGTTCCTGCTAATAAATGTGTATTCCATCTATAGGTAATGAACTTGTAAAGCCAGTTCAAAATAAAATATGTAAAAAAAAAAAACCAGTAGCACCAAATAAAGCGATGCAATAAGATCAAAAGAACAGGTAGCGCCAATAGGAAATGTAGTTGAGATCAAAAAACAGGTAGCACCGATATGAGGTGTAGTTGAGATTAAAGAAAATATGGACCCAATGTGAACTGATAATAATAAGGTCAAAGTACGTAATACCAAGAATAGAGACGGCGTTTAGATAGATCAAAGAAAATAAGTGATACCCAATGTGAAAAGATAGCGATACCCAATGTGAAAAGATAGCGACACCCAATATGAAAAGATAGCGATACCAAATATAGGAGACAGCGTTAAGAGTAGCACTAAATATAGAGATATAGCATTAAGATAAAGCAATTAAATGACACAAACAAATACTAACATTAAATATGAAAAATGAAAATGGTAGATACCAAAAACCAAGCCAACGTCAAATTCGAAAAATATAAGCCAATATCGAATGCAGGGAGATGCAAAGTTAATGTCAAATACAAGGAGATGCAAAGCCAATGTCAAATGCAAATAAACATAAAACCAAAGCCAAATACGAAGAATCGTGAATCCAATTTAAATGCGAAAAGAGGTAAAGCCAATGAACGCAAAGAGAAGAAAGCTAGCGAAAGCAAAGAGAGGAAAGCTAGCGAAAGCAAAGAGAGGAACCAACAAACGCAAAAGAGGTAAAGCCAACGAATTCGAAAAGGTAAGTAACGAATGTGATGTAAAGCTAACTCCAGGAAACGCCAAAG